GAAAAGGGATAAACACTTATTTTCTCACAACTACTCCATCAATCAAACTGCCAAACCCTACATAGCTACATTTCATGGAAAATTAGGAAATCCAATCTCTATAATCTCCTCTGCAATACATTTCGTGTAGGCCTCTGAACTTTTAGTGGGCTGCATCTGAGATGTCACTGGCAGCCTTGCAAAATGTCACTGGAAAAAAAAACCCAAATAGAGAATTAAAGATCTGGCACAGGAATATCATGTTTCCAGTATTTTGGCCAGTATTCTGTTCAGCTTCCTTTTTACCCCCTTCTATGACAGCTCTCTTCTCTTCTCCCCTAAGAAAGAGGAGAGGAAAAAATATCCAACATATATTTTCTTAAGTCTAGCAAAGAAATATTAATACCAGGCGATATCACCCCACTGTAAATTAACTTAGTGGGGTTGCTCCTGTTTTACACCCAGATTTGTCTCTGATGTCTTTATTAAATCAAAACTTCTTGTTTTATTATTGGATCACACAATAAGACATCCAGGCATTTGTTCAATTTGATCATACAGTACTACTGAAAGTCATTTGATGAATATTCTTTAGACAGCATCCAAAAACAACAGTACAGGTTCTGCCCAATCTAAGAGTCTTCTTATACTAATTCTATCTGCATGCTCTTACTGGAATATTCAGTGATATGGTTCAAGACTAAGCAAAATGTTTTCTTCTATCTTTGCCCCATGCAGTCAGCGTAATACAGCAATACAATATTTCTGAGTCTTATCTTACTGCCCCCTACAGGATAAGATCCTATTCACCAGATCTGCTTTCGATGGTCAGTAAAAGTTATGTCGCAGCCTAAATATACTAAAAGCACCAGATCCTGTCTGATCTTGGGAGATAAGTAGAACCGCTTGGGAGATAAGCAGAACTAGCTGTAGTTAATACTTGGATGGAAGATTGCAAAGGAATACCAGGTATTGTAGACCAGAAAGCAATAGGCAAAACAACCTGAATACTCCTTGCCAAGGAAACTCTTTGAAATGCATGCGGTCACTTCTAAGTATTCCTTGCCTAAGAAAACCCAATGAAATTCATGGGGTTGTCATAAATAACAGGAAAAATGAAGGCACACACACACATCATGTCTCTCTTGGATTGGGTGGCAGTGCTGTAAGAAGATTACTGCAAAAGAAAGTGGAAAAGAAAAATGAAAGACAGGAGCTCTTGCAGGACAGAGATAAGATTGGCAGGGATAGGGAGGCTTTCAAAGCAAACACAGAGCCATGGATTTTTTTTTTTAAAAAAAGGCGTGTAAGATTCAACAGATGAAATAAGATACTAAAATGTAGAACAGAGAAGGGATGGGACTATTGCTTCTAATATTCATTTCCTCCTCTGTATGCATTTCATTCACTTCTAACAATGGCTTCAACCAATGTCGTCCTTATTACAGGAGACAACGAGCTCACATCAAATGGATGGGAATATCCGTTCCCATATTCTATTCTAAGACACTGATTTACAAGCCAAGTCTTTCAGGAAAATGTTTCCATCAGACCCGTTCTGAATCCAAAATTCTGCCAGAGAAATGATTTGCATTCACCCAGCTGCAAATACACACTTCCATCTGCCAAGGACACAGAGGTTTGGCCTAGACTCCTCTGTAGTATTTTTTGGTATCCCTCAAACACTAGGCATGAATGACCCCACTTCTTCTTTTTTTTTTTTACAAAAAGACATATTTAATTCAGACATCTACGTTACAAAAAAAATCTAGGAGACAAACCAGAGCTATAAAACCTTAGCCAGCACCAGCTCTAGAATTACACAGCCCATTGCATGGCTCTTGAAACAAATCTGTTTAATATTGCCAGACTAATACTCGAGACAGTTTGACGCACTGAGACAAGAAAGTACAGGGAACCAAAATAGCACATTAAGCACAACTGACTTTTTTCTTGGCACACTTTCTTAATGCCTCTCCTGATACGGTTAAGAAAATTTACTCAGTAAGGACAAAAAGGAGGCAAGGGAGGGGGCAAGAGCAACAGGGAGATTCAAGATTTCCACAGAGGACATCTACCTGGCTTTTCATTTCACCTCATTAATTTTAGAGCTCTAAGAACAACAATCTGTACGAATAATGATCTGGAAGTAATTTCTCTTTGAAAGACACAGTGGTTTAATAGTACGGAACAAAAAAAAGGCGGTCCAAAAAACAACCCACAGTTTAGGCTGCAATCTTTATTAAAAAGCAGATTTAGAAGGTTTCCTAACTAAAGATCACTTCATTCTCTAGTTAATGAAGAGGCAGAAAGAGAAGATTATATCTCCAATTGGTGATCTGAGCAGGCAATGCAAAGCAGCTTCCTCCTCATGTTCTTATATGGAAATGTAGAGGATGTCGTCTCAAAAGCCTTGTACGCTTCCCTTTTGTGCAATGGCTACCCATCGATGAACATCCATCCTGTCCTCTGTTTTCCGGCGGCTAAGACAAAAGTGGCAAATTTAGGTGTCGCTTTGTCCATATTGAGACTGAAATTTAGTTGTGGAGCAGCAGGTTAAACCACTGAACTGCTGAAATTGCTGACTGAAATGTCAGCAGTTCGAATCCGGGGAGCAGGGTGAGCTCCCAATGCTAACCTCGGCTTCTGCCAATCTAGCAGTTCAAAAACATGGAAATGTGAGTAGATCAATAGGTACTGCTTCAGTGGGAAGGTAATGGCACTCCATGCAGTCATGCCAGCCACATGACTTTGGAGGCGTCTACAGATAATGCTCTTCAGCTTAGAAATGGAGATGAGCACCCTCCAAAGTCGGACATGACTAGACTTAATATCAAGGGAAAACTTTTACCTTTGACATAAGGGAGAAGCCACTTTGCATGCCTGGTTCAGCTCAGCAATTGAGGATATAATCCTTCTCTGTATATAATCAGGAGAAAAGAGAGTACTTTTTTGCCTATGAATTTGTGTGTGTGTGTGTGTGTGTGTCAGAAGCGACTTGAGAAACTGCAAGCTGCTTCTGTTGTGAGAGAATTGGTCATCTGCAAGGCTGTTGCCCGGATATTTTAATGTTTTACCATCTTTGTGGGAGGCTTCTCTCCTGTCCCTGCATGGGGAGCTGGAGCTGACAGAGGGAGCTCATCCGCACTCTCCCTGGATTCGAACTTCTGACTGTCGGTCTTCAGTCCTGATGGAACAAGGGTTTAACCCATTGTGCCACTGGGGACTCCATTCCTAAAATCTTTAAGTGCCTAAGGATGCATCTACTGAAGAATGAATGCGGTTGGAAAACCGCTTTAACTGCCATGCATGGATCAATGCAAGGAAGCTGTAGTTTGCAGAGGTACAAGGAGGCTTTGGAAGAGAAGGCGAAGGACAATGTACGATTACAACTGCCATGGCTCCACAGCACTGAGACGATTCAATAACTCGACAGTGTAGATCAGGCATGGGCCAACTTGGGCCTTCGCTCCAGGCATTTTGGGCTTCAACTCCCACCATTCCTAACAGCCTCAGGCCCTTTCCTTTTTCCCCTCAGCCGCTTGAAAAGGAAGGGGCCTGAGGCTGTTGGAATGGTGGGAAAGGGGTTGAGGCTGTTAGGAATGGTGGGAGTTGGAAAGGAAGGGGCTTGAGGCTGTTAGGAATGGTGGGAGTTGGAAAGGAAGGGGCTTGAGGCTGTTAGGAATGGTAGGAGTTGGAAAGGAAGGGGCTTGAGGCTGCTAGGAATGGTGGGAGTTGGAAAGGAAGGGGCTTGAGGCTGCTAGGAATGGTGGGAAAGGGGTTTGAGGCTGTTAGGAATGGTGGGAGTTAGAAAGGAAGGGGCTCGAGGCTGTTAGGAATGGTGGGAAAGGGGTCTGAGGCTGCTAGGAATGGTGGGAGTTGGAAAGGAAGGGGCTTGAGGCTGCTAGGAATGGTGGGAAAGGGGGCTGAGGCTGCTAGGAATGGTGGGAATTAGAAAGGAAGGGGCTCGAGGCTGTTAGGAATGGTGGGAAGGGGGCCCGAGGCTGCCAGGAATGGTGGGAGTTGGAACGGAAGGGGCTTGAGGCTGTTAGGAATGGTGGGATGGGGGTCTGAGGCTGCTAGGAATGGTGGAAGTTGACATCCAAAACACCTGGAGGGAGGGCCCAAGTTTGCCCATGCCTGGTGAAGATGCAGCCTTTGAGGATGTGTCCACGGTGCCCTTCCTTCCACAAAAAAGAGCCCAGGCTAAAGAAGCGGTGGGCAAGGTTGGCGTTGGTCTTCACAGTCTGGGCTGGAGGAGGAAAGAGAGGCGCGGCGAGGCGAAAAGGGCGCGTGGGCAGGAGAGGAGCACATGCTCGCGCTCACATACAAAGGGCGGAAAGCGCCTCGCGCGCCCTGGGGCCAAATCCCCTCGGCTTTTTCCCAAGCCAGGTGGGGAAGTCCGCGTCGGAAAGACGTCCCCGGAGAGGGAGGGAGGGGGGGGGCTGTCGAGAGAAAAGAACAGCCTCGCGCAGGGAGGGGGAGAGAGAGGGGAAAGAGTGGGGGGCTGTTGAGGAGACCCTCCTTCCTTCCTTTCCTCCTTTAGAAAGGTGTCCGCTTTTTCCAAAGGAGCCAGACAAAAGCCCAACAACCGCAACCGCCATGCTTTCCCCTCACCCACAAGAAGAAGATGAAAAAAAAGAGGGGGGGGGCAAAGCATCCACAAATAGGGGGGAGGGAAACGTACACCGCCACAAAAGGTGTGCGTGGAATGTGAAGAAGGGAGGGAAAGGGCGCCTTTGGTGGGGTCTGGAGGGAGACCCACCTGCTGCCCGCCTTTGTTCCGAGGAGACAAGGGAAGGGAGCGGGGGGCGCGCTCGGGGGGGACCTACCTGTCGCAGCTCTGCCTGCCCTTGCTCGCCGTGGCTGTGCCCCTCCGTGGCGCTTGCCTGCTCTCTGGCTCTCTGGCTGGCCTTGGGGGTGTCCGGGGGTAGCTGTCCAGCGCCTGCCTGCCTGCCTGCCTGCTTCTCCCTCTGGGAGCCTGCCTCTCTCTCTCTCTCTCTCTCTCTCTCTGTCTGTCTGTCTCCTCCTCAGCTGCGTCCCGCTGCTGCGTCCCGAGGGCGAGCCTGACCAAGCGCACTAGCCGGGCGGCGGCGGAGGAAACGGTAATTTATAAGCGCTTTCTTCCTGACCTCTCGCGTCTGTTGTCTGAGGAGGGAGCGCGGAGCATCCCCCATCCTGCGGAGTGGAAAAACACCAGCTCGGCCTCGTCTTTGCGCGGGGGGGCGGGCGGGGGGGGGGGCGGGGGAGGAGAAGGAGGAGGGGCGGGGCTATCTCTCAGGCGCTCTGTCACTCAAGCTGAGGGAGAAAGGGGGGGGGGGGGAGGAAGGAGAGGCCAGGCTGGCAGGCAGCCCGCGGGAGGGGCGAGGAGGAGGAGGAGGAGGAGGAACAGCTGCCTGCTGGCCCTCCGCCTGCCTTGCCGTCGCCCAGGCGGGAAAGGGAGCCTGTCCTTCCCCTCGGGGCCTCTGCCCCAAAGCTCCCTTTGCTGCCCCAAACTGAAGAGAGGGGGTGTGGGGTCACGTGGAGCTAGAAGGCGGATGAAAAGGAAGCTCTCTTCCTCTCTAATCATAATTGGGTTGCTTCCTGTCTGTGAGAGCCGTTCAGCAGTGGAACTCTCTGCCCCCGAGTGTGGTGGAGGCACCTTCTTTGGAAGCTTTTAAACAGAGGCTGGATGGCCATCTGTCGGGTGATTTGAATGCAATTTGCCTGCTTCTTGGAAGGGTTTGGACTGGATGGCCCATGAGGTCTCTTCCAACTCTATGATTCTATGTTGAGTGTTTTCCGGGCTGTATGGCCATGTTCCAGAAGCATTCTCTCCTGATGTTTCACCCACATAGAATTATTGAGTTGGAAGAGACCTCGTAGGCCATCCAGTCCAACCCCCTGCCAAGAAGCAGGACAATCGCTTTCAAACCAACCTCAGCAGATGGCCATCCAGCCTCTGTTTAAAAGCCTCCATAGAAGGAGCCTCCACCACATCTGTTGCAGGCATCCTCAGAGGTCTACAGTTCTTTTGGAAACTAGGCAAGTGACATTTATATATCTGTGGAATGTCCAGGGTGGGAGGAAGAATGCTTGTCTATCTTGTCTCTAAAATCAGTACAGGAGAATTCCAGGCAGGAAACAATCAGGGCCAGCTAATACCTCCCAACAAAGGATTCCCCCAGGCAGGAAGCAGTCAGGCTTTGAAGCTGCCAGGCTATTCAATGCTAATCGAGGTGCTTAATGGCAACATTCATGCTTGCAAGTGGGATTTATTTATTTACGTATTCATTTACTGTACTTATACCCTGCCTTTTCACCCCCAAAGGGGGACTCAGTGTTAGTATCATAAACTATTGGATTATGACCAATTGGGAAAACCATAATCTTTATGTCTTTTAAGAAAAGAAATTGTATCCATGAGATGCCAGAGCGCAATCTGTTCAGCACCTTCCAAGTCGCCCAGTCTGAGTGTCCAGGGAGTTCAGCCTGTGTTACCCTGGCTGGATAAGCCTGCCAGAAGAGGTGAGTCTTCTATGGTGCTGTTGAAGCTCTTCCAGCAGGTGTACTCCATGCTATCCCATACCACCAACTCTATACTGAAATACAGTCTTTGGGCAGCCGGTGAAAAGGTACTCTGGGTGACTCTTGCCCATCAGGTTCTAGCTGTTTGGAGTCAACATCCACCAGATGATCTCCTGTAGGTAACCTGGATCCAAAGGACTTTAGTTTCCTTTGCCTGGGAACTAATTGGCAGCCAGTGGAGTAGTTTCAGAGTAGGTGTAATATGCTCACACCAAGATGCCCCTGTGACCAACCTGGCTGCCATGTTTTGAATTAACTGGAGTTTCTGAACTTGGTACAAAGGTAGCCCAATGCCCAGCACATTGTAGAAGTCCCAACCTTGAGGTTACCAGCATGGACAGTGAGCATCCTTTAACCTGCAAAGGTGAGGTGACAGTATGAGGGGATTACACTATTTCATCAGATAGGTGCTCTTCCCACTTGGGAGGGAAAGGCAGCTCTCTTCAACTCTTCATATGGAGCAAACAGGGGCTTCTCCTAAAGCTACCCTTTGAGGCTTCTTATGTTTTGTATATGTATTTTAACTATGTTATACCCCACCTTGAGCAATGAAATAAAATGTAAATAAATAAAATAAAAGCTACCTTTTGTGAGTTTTTCACATCCATCCCAGGTTAGGGTGGGTTTGAGGGGAAAGAGGGAAGCAAAGGTTGTCATGCATCACCAAGAGAGAACATATTTGCTGTACAATTATAGCACTGTAATGCCACTTTAGTTACCATGGAGCCTTGGGTTTTTTTGTTCTGATTAGAAGGTGCCAAGGTGTTCTGAAAAGAGAGCAGCTGGGAATTAAATACATTTAGTTCTGTGGTGTAGACAGAGTATTGTGCCTGGGCCTGAGGATGGGGGTGGAATATATACCTTTTTGCAGAGGATTCCAAATTCTTCGCCAAATTACAAAATCCAATAAGCTGTAGATCAAAACCATGGTAGCTAAAGTGGCGTTAAACTTTGCAGTGTGGATACACTGCTCAGGTTTGTCACCCAGTGTAGTGGAGAAGAAGTGACAGGCAATTGGGCCTCTGAAACATCTTAGCTGTAAGAAGCACATGAATGCTCACAAGAACATACGTGCTAATTTCACCTTCCAGTTGTTTTTGGTATAGGCTTAAAACATTGGTGGCAGATGTGTAGCTTGTTGTCTCCCCAATCTAGTGAAGTCAACAGAAGGGTGTTAGGGTGCATCTTCACTGTAAAACTAATGCATCTTGACACCACTCTTAACTGCCATGACTCAATGCTGTAGAATCCTAGCCATTATAGTTTTACAAGGTCTTTAGCCTTCTCTGCCAAAGGGTTCTGGTGGAACACCAAACTACAAGTCCCATGATTCCATAGAATTGAGTCATGGCAGTTAAAGTGATGCCCAACTGCATTACTTCTGCAGTGCAGATGTCCCCTTAGACTTGGGTGCATTTAAAGAACGCTCAGCTTCAAGTTCCTGGTTGGCCTTAGGGCCCTTCCACACAGCCATATAACCCAGAATATCAAGGTAGAAAACCCCACAATATCTGCTTTGAACTGAGAGCCCTTCCACATAGCCCTATATCCCAGACTATCAAGGTGGAAAATCCCACAATATCTGCTTTGAATGAGTTATCTGAGTCCACACTCAGATAATGTGGGATGTTTCACCTTGATATTCTGAGATAAAGGGCTGTGTGGAAGGCCTTGAGTTATCTGAGTCCACACTGTCATATATTCTGGAATTTTATTCAGCTGTGTGGAAGGACTCTTAGGCAAAACTAATGTCTCTCATCTTATACTATCTCACAGGGCTGTTGTGAGGCTAAAACACTCTTCTGCATTCATTGTAGAAAGAATACTGAAGGACAAGTAAAACCACATATGATAATTAAATTTAAACAGGGGTGAGCAACTTTGTTCAATTTACAGTCCTAATCAGTTTCAGATACTTTTGTGGAGGAGAGCCAAAAGAGCCAAAAATACTACAGTCAGTCACTCCATATCCACAGATTCTGTATCCATGCATTCCACAAGCCACAGCATGAAAATGTTTTTAACAACTCCAAAAGCAAACTGTGCCATTTCATGCCAGTGTATATAATAGGATTTGGGCATTGGCAGATTTTGGTACCCATGAGGGTGGAGGTGGGAAGTCAAACTTCAGTAGATACCAAAGGACTATCATCTGGAGACACTGAGGATTTATGGTAACAGGTTCAGTCTATTCCTTCCACCCATCCAAACTTGTTACTTCTCATTTTACCAGTAAATGACTGTTTAAAACCCCACCCTTTGCTGAACCCTTTCATCATCATCACTGAGTGAAATTTTGAACATTTTCTAATCTTCATCAAATCAGGCCACTCTGCTGTTTTTTGAAAGGAGGCTGGGATGGAAGTGTGGTGTAGAGGTCTGAAAGCTAAACTAGGGCCCTTCCAGACAAGCCCTGTGTCCCAGGATCTGATTCCAGGTTTTCTGCATTAAACTGGATTATGTGAGTCCCCACTGAACAGATAATCTGGGATAAACAGAAAACCTGGGGTGTATGGCCTGTCTAAAAGGGCCCTATGACACAGAGAAACTGGGGATCAAATCTTTGCTCAGCAAATTCACTAGGTGACCTTGGGTAAATCTCACTCTCTCAGGCTGAGATGAAGACAAGAGTAAACCCCTCTAAACTAATCTTACTAAGTAAATCCCATGAAATATCCACCTTGGGATCATCCTATGACAGCAATTACTTGAAGGCACACAGCAATGGTGTGTCAGAATAATCCGAAGAGCATAAATCATGCTCACATATGAATATGATGTCTTGGATACAATAATTCTGACATACCTTTGCGACACAAAAAGGATGAAGCAACTTTCTTTAGGAGGAAAAAACATGAAACTGTACGTGAGTGTGGTTTCCTTGCAGAGAACGTTGAACTTGAGAACTTCCTCAGAGGCTCTGAAAATGCTGAGGGACAGATGCTGTCTTCAGCAGTTGCACTTAAAACTCTTCCATCTTTTACTTGAAAAACTTGCAACTATTGCAAACTATAGTTCCTGAAATTGAACATTTTTGTTGTTGTCATGTGTCTTCCAGTCACTTTTGACTTAGGGTGATCTTAAGGAAATCATAGAGTTTTCTTGGCAAGATTTATTCAGAGTGTATTTGCCATTGACTTCTAAGACAGAGAGTGTGATTTCTCCAAGGTCATCCAGCAGTTTTCCATAGCCAAGGGAGACTTTGAATTCTGGTCTCCCAGTGTCCTACTCAAACGATCATGTTGGCTTTTTGCACCACACTCATTCAGTTGCAGCCCATAGCAGAATTAGTGTAACTTCACAAGCTGTAGGATGGGACTGTGGTACGATTAGGGTGTATCCAGGCTAATTGAAAGGTTCCAGATTTTGGGTTGTTTTAGGGTTTTTTTGGGCTGTATGGTCATGCTCTAGAAGCATTCTCTCCTGATGTTTTTCCTGCATCTGTGGCAAGCATCCTCAGAGGCGGTGAGGACAACCTCACAATCTCTGAGGTTGCTTGCCACAGATGCAGGCAAAACATCAGGAGAGAATGCTTCTAGAACATGGCTATACAGCCCGAGAAACCTAAAATAACCCAGTGATTCCGGCCATGAAAGCCTTTGACAATACGTTCCAGATTTTGTTCTAACCTGGGGATATAGTGTAGAAGGTGTTTTGTCTTACTAAGAGTTGACAGAAAACACACAAGGATAAACAAAAGATCCATGGAGCTCCAAACCTTTGAAAGAACTGAAACTTGTTGGTCTTTCTACTCAGTCTGAATGTGCCATAGTTTGTTCAATAATTGGCACATTTCTGTATTGTACCATAATCAGAGATCACTTGGCTGGGCACAAAAGAGAAAATTGGGCTGTCTTTTCTGTTCCTGATCACTTCCCAATACTGCATGGCAAAGCTATCTTAGAAGAACTTTTTCCAGAAACTTTCACTGATCCTTTGACTTGCATTCTAACTTAACAAGGCCACCAGGTTTCCAATACCAGTAAAATGTTGCTCCCAGCAACTGTAGCATGAAAGTCTCTTTATTCTAAGGCAAATAGAGCAGAAATGACCCCTGTGTGTGTCCAGCTCTCCTCATGCAAAACGTTGATCGTTGCTATTTCTTTTTTTCAGGTCTCTTCTTGTTTTGTTGAATCCACCACAGAAAGTAAAAGAGACTCAGAGAACTTTAGGCACCAACTGTGTAAGAGGAAACAAAGATGTTTTGGAATCGGGAACACATAAACACTGCTTGGAACAGACTAAAATAGTAATCATCAGCATTCTTGTATGACACAAATTGGATACTACGTAATCTTTCTTTTATTAAAGAAAAGGTATTCAGAAGAGTCCTTCAAGCTGATACTATGAGCATCTAGCTACATTGTTAAGCCTTAATCCTCAAAATTAATGTTCTTGAGTACACTGTTTCAAGAAAGGGAGAGCACAGAAGTACAGTAAAACCTGCTTTGAACTATTGTTACCTAATTCACATTTGAAACCTTAAATCCCAACAGGATAACTTTGAAATAATTATTCTCATTCCAGTGGGGTTATGCATACTTTAAAGCAGTGTTTCTAAAACTCCAGGTGTCTTGGACTTCAGCTCCCAGAAATCCCAGCCAGCTGCTAGGAATTATCGTCCAACCACAGTTGCCATTTCTCAAATGGGAATAAGAAATCCTGGATCCAACATGCCTACTCTGAGAGGTACTAAGGATAGGTACATTATTGTTGATTTTTATGTTGGTGGGCTGTAAGCAAAGAACTTCAAATGTCTAAAATTCCTATGTACAGAGGTGTTTTAGATGTGAGGCTTTCGAGCAGCAACTTTTCTACTGTGGTCATCATGCCACAGACTAAATTGAATTAAAGGCCAAACTATGTGCAACTTTGCTAATTTGTCCTTGTATTCAAAATGGGGTGATTTGAAAAAGAAATAATAAAAGGCTTAAATTCTCCGTATCTTCATTATAAGCCTCAACCCCAACCTGGTTAGATTACATGCAAATCCCACCCCCCACACACACACACACACACACTTACACAGAAACACACATTTAAAGTCATGTTCCCTTTCTTTGGTTTGAAGGGAGATTTCAAGTTATTTGTGACATGGAAAAGGAATCAGAACATACACCATTGTCCATCTCAAGCCCATTAAGGGATCAGCCCCCAGACCAGTCTTACTGGTTTTGATAGCTGTATTTGGTTTGTTATTCATCTACTGATTTGCATTCATTTGTACTCTTCAGTTCCTTCTGAAAACTCATCAAAGCAGCTAGTTAGATTCCTGTAAGAATCAAATTTAAAGCAATACCTATATAATAAAGTCAGAAAAACCAGACAGCACAAGAAATTGGCAGAATACAACAGAACACAAACATTTCAGCAGAAAGACCAGCTCTCTGAAATAAAACAGGTTTTACTGCTGGTCAGAAAATGACCATAGATGAAGCCAAGCAGATCTCTCTTTGAAATCCTGGCGCCACAGCTGAAAAGGCTCTCTGCCGTTCCTGTTTACCTCTCCAAAACTTTTCATAAAAGTTATGTTTTGGAATACAATTCCCAGAATTATATATCCAGCATGGTCATTGAATGTGTTGGCTGGAAACTTCTGAGAGCATTGTTCAATAAGATCCAAAGCTTTGATCTTCCTACTACAGAAACTGGGGGAGTGGGTTGAAGACAGATTTACTGGTTCAACTCTGGGTGTTTTGCATTGGCCTGGCAATAGTCACCAACTTCCAGTTATTTAACAATAATGACCACTGATGGAATGGAGGGAGATCCAGGATATTTTAAGATGGATGGAAGGGCTCTCCCACTGAAGATGTTGAGATCAGTACTTCTCATGACAATTCATGCTGTTCAGCAAGGGTTTTCAGTCTTTTGTGTAGTGGGCTATCATGAAGGAAAAGGAAGCAGGAATGGATTTTTGCTTGAAGGATCTGCTGAGCTGAGTCCTGGTATAAAGGAACAAATCCCTCATCTGAGGATGTACTTATATATTACATGATTTTAAGGATATGCCTAACTTCTGAGCTTTTGTTTTGCTTTAAAGTCTGTTTGGTAGATCCTAAGGTTCTTCTCCTTGTGTATCTACTTTCAAGCTGCCCCCATGCATTTCACAGAGTTTTCTTAGGGCACAGCTACACAGAACACTTTGCATGAAAGGCCAGTGAATCAGCTCTGTGGTGGCTAAACAATTCACAGAGCTTATCTGCGTTAATGCAAGCCAAAGCTGCTTAGCACAGTCTTGAACCATGTTAACCAAAGTCACAGGTTGCTCCAAGTTGTCCCCCAAAATCCAGAGCAAAACACAACTTTGGGGCCATGTAAGCAGTTAGCCCACTTCTGAACCAGCCACAACAACTGTTTACATGGTCATCCTGTGTTCCTTGAGCTTGGGTGGCCTGGGGGCATGGGGTGGCACTCACCATCCCCTCAAGACAAGGTGATCAGAGAAGAGAGGCCTAGAGGAGGAGGCAAATTCCCCTCCTCTCTCCCACATCATGAACTATGTCATGCCTGCTGGCCATAGCAATGAAGTAAATTGGATAGGACTGGAAGGGTGACCACTCAACAGCACCAAAGTGGGTACAGCAAAAAAATGCACAGTCAAGACTACCCCCCCCCCCCCACCTCCACAGCATCCAGAGGGTGGTGATCCTGGGGCTTATCCATCAGTTCCCACTTGGAATAAATCAGTGTAGAAGCGCCCTTAGGCAAGGAATATTCAGAGGTTGTTTTGCCAGTCCCTGCCTTTGAAAGGTAGCTTCCTCCTCAACAAAAGGAGGAGAAGGAGGAAAAACCATGCCTTAATTCAAAGCCTGCAATCTTGATGTCTTCCCACTGCTGCATAAACCATCATGAGGATTAGGAAATGGTTTAAAAGGTGGACAATAAATAAATAAACCTGGTAGAGGCTACTTCTTGGATATTCCCTAAGCAAAAGAGTATGTGTGGAATGTGGCAAGCTCTTATCTAGGAAAGATCTGGCAACCCTAAACAAAAGAGCACTTTATGGCAGGGATTATATTGCTAGGGAGTCGGTTGAGGTGTTGATCTGCGCTGTTACCACAAAAGACGTGGTCTATGTGAAAAGGCTTTCAGCTGATTAAAGTTTTTGCAAAACACAAATGCTCTTCGAAAGGTCATTTTAGGGCAAATGGATGTGGAGTTTGGGTCACTAATCATTCTCATATCCCAGGAAGGGGGGGGGGGTGTTTTCTTATACCTAGAATTTCCAGTTAATTGGTTTGCGGGAGGCAATATTTTCATGGGTGAATGCAGACTGTCCCCCAAAGCACTATTTGAGTCTGTTGATCTTCATTGTTTGCTCCAAACTGCAGTTGTTTATAGGTCATCATAAAGATGTAGGCTGGTTTGGAAGCTTGCCTAGTGTGTTAATTATTTTAGATTTTAAGGACAGAGATTTTTTGCTGGAGGCAATACATTGTGGTAATCAAAGGTATGTATTGAATTCTACTTGATAAAGATTGTGTTCTGCATGGTAATTTGATGCATAGCTGAGGCTTCTGTCTTCTCTTTGTTATTTGCTGCCTCCCTTCCACTCCCTCCATTCCTTTCCACTCCCTTCTCCCTCCCTCCCACTTTCCTTCCAGCCCTTCCCCACTTCTGTTTGTATCCACATACATTCATCTGCAAATTGAGGATAATATCCATCTGAGTGGGCTCTTGCTGCAGTTTCAATTGCCATCATGTCAATGTCAACTTAGGGCAACCCTATGAATGTGAGACCTCCAAAAGCCCTGTTCATTTCTTGCAAACTCAGGACTATGCCCTCTTTGATTGAATCTATCCACCTAATGCTGTCTTCTTCTTTTATGGCTTCCTTGTATCTTACCAAGCATTATTGTATTTTCTAATGAGTCATGACTTTTAATAATAAATTTAGTCTTAGCTGTTAGATAGCTCTTAACAGCTATCAAAATGTAACAAGCTGACATTCTAACGGTCAGTATGGTGTTGTAGTTAAAGTGTAGGACTGATAGTGGAGAGACCCAGGATAATAATGATGATGATGATGATGATAATTTTATTTTTTACCCGCTTTTCCTCATGGCCGGAGGTAGGTTACAGAATAATTAAAACATATACACATTGTAAAAAATACCACAAATACACATATTAAAATGTATTTTACAAAATATACATATTAAAATATATTTCTATAAAATACATATTAAAATACACAAAACAGAGATTAAACACAGGACACAAGTTTAAAATTCATGCTTAAAACTGGCTGGGTAGGCCTGCCAGAAGAGATAGGTCTTTAGATGGTTTTAAAATTCTGATCGGGCCCTTATCAGCCATGAATTTTACGCGTGGCTCTTGAACAAGCCACTATCTCTCAACTTGGTTGAGTGTTGTGAGAATAAAGTAGGGAGAAAGGGAAATCATGAACAGAAGTCCATTGGTGACCCTGCATTAGTATTTATCAATACTGACAAGTCTTCCTTCCTTCCTTCTCTCCCCTCTTTCTTTCCCTGTGCTTGGTTAATTTACTAGGATAAAGTCTGTAATTTAATGGTGTATACCTTGTATACAGAAAGCCCCAGTCTCATCCCTTGGTCCTTCCAGCTAGGGTTTACCTAGGCTGATCCCTGATGAAGCTGCTCAACAGAGGGAATATAGCTAAATGGAACTAGATAGTTCATTTTTTTGAATCTAAAACATATAAAACAACTGAAAATTCAGATAGACATCCACTGCCGATACAAGCATCAAAAAGAAGCGGTTATGCTCTTTTTTAAAAAAATAGAGAAAGCAGTGTTCTTTGCAAAGTATCTTTATCCATGGACTGCCACCCAAAACACACACATTATTTCACTGGGACCGGTTTCCATATGAGATAGTGTCATCCAGAGAACACTGGTTGTGCCTCCTACACCATGAACCAAAACAAGAGTTTGTTTATCTTCCCAGTAAGACTGTCATACTCGTTGGATAGCAGGGCTTTATCTGGATTTATCTGGCAGTAAGCAGAATGCAAAAAGCAACAGAGGTGTCTACTGCAAGAGGGTTAGGTAAGACAAAGGAGTGAGTAGAAAGAAAGGAAGGAAGAGTAGAGCAAAGGAGGGATGTGAAGGTAAGCAGTAGCACAGTTGAAGGAGAAAGAGAGGTAGGGCAGATGAGGGTAGTAGTAGAATAGAAAGGACATATTAGAGAAGCATTATAGAGGTATGAGTTAGGGAGAGGGAAGTATGGTGGTGTGGTGAGGTAGGAAGGAGCAAAGGAGGGAAGCAAGGCAGCACCAGAAGAGTATAAATAATTACTTCCATACTCTGCAACTTGTGATGCTATTCTGGGGGCAAAACATGTGGGAAAGAGTGAAAGTATAGAATAGAGAAAAGGCTGTTAATGTAGATGCCAGATATGAATCTGCAGAATGTGAGGGAAGGGATTCAAATAATTATAAAGAAAGATTAAGTCTTCTGATGCACTAATTCCACCTTTATTTGTCTTGGCAGTGTAACATGGGCATTTGCACTGTTTACTCATACATGAGTCCTACTTAGTTAAATATATGTAAGATAGGAATGCCATTTACCTCTATAATGTAAACTCTGTCAGGAAAACAATACAGCAGCTTCAAGGGTGATGCTTTAGAAAGGATTTATGGTGAGAAGTACAAGGGTGGTGTTGGGTGGGACATCTCTCCCACGTTGGATTACACTCACTATCTCCATGCATCTGATGGAATGGAATGCCAAACAGAACTTGTTTATCTTTAAAGTTAGATACTCTTGGGTAGATAAGGGTTGTCTCAGTCAGCAGATATGCACAGACTCAGCCTTCCACATTTGCTAGTTTGATTTTTGTGGATTTGATCTTTTTATGGATTTGATTAAAGATTCCTGGACAAGTGTTAGGT